CCCACCTGTCCCCCGGAGGGTCCTGCCTGCTCTCAGCCTGTCTCCCCACCTGTCTCATGGGGAGGGTCCTGCCTGCCCTCAGCCCGTCTCCCCACCTGTCCCCCGGAGGGTCCTGCCTGCCCTCAGCCTCAGTCTCCCCACCTGTCCCCCGGAGGGTCCTGCCTGCCCTCAGCCTCAGTCTCCCCACCTGTCCCCCGGAGGGTCCTGCCTGCCCTCAGCCTCAGTCTCCCCACCTGTCCCCCGGAGGGTCCTGCCTGCCCTCAGCCTCAGTCTCCCCACCTGTCCCCCGGAGGGTCCTGCCTGCCCTCAGCCTCAGTCTCCCCACCTGTCCCCCGGAGGGTCCTGCCTGCTCTCAGCCTGTCTCCCCACCTGTCCAATGGGAGGGTCCTGCCTGCCCTCAGCCTGTCTCCCCACCTGTCTCATGGGGAGGGTCCTGCCTGCCCTCAGCCCGTCTCCCCACCTGTCCCCCGGAGGGTCCTGCCTGCCCTCAGCCTCAGTCTCCCCACCTGTCCCCCGGAGGGTCCTGCCTGCCCTCAGCCTCAGTCTCCCCACCTGTCCCCCGGAGGGTCCTGCCTGCCCTCAGCCTCAGTCTCCCGTCTCCCCACCTGTCTCGTGGGGAGGGCCCTGCCCGCTGTGAGGAAAGGAGCTCGGAGCCCTTGTTTCTGTTCTGAAGTCAGAGGTGGTGGCAGCTGCTGCTCTGCCCCTCCCACCGGCTCCGCACGAGGGTGCCCTTCAGGCCGCCCCCTGTCCTGGCCACGAGACTTCGCTGCTGCCGGGCAGGGGGGCCCGAGAGGTGCCTTTCCTCTCCCCTCGCCCTCCCAGTGCTTCGGGGGAGAGAGGAGGTAGGGTTGGAGACTGAGCGAGGACGGAGACCCACTGAGCTGCCCTTTGTGCCACACCATGCAGGGCAGGGCTGAGGGGCAGGGGCCGTGCCTAGAGGGAAGGCGCCAGGCCTGGAGTGGCGGAACCAGCTGGGCGGGAACTGGGACAGGCCTGTGCCCTTTGAGGCTGTGGCTGTGGACCTGGCCGTCCCTCAGGGGTGCCCGTCGCGAGCCCAGGAGAGACCCTGCCTCTGAGCTGAGGGAGCCCCGGCCGATGGAGGAAGGGCTTCCAGGGACTGGCGAGGGGGCGGCTCCTCCCGAATTGGGAAGGGCGGTGCCCGGGTGGCAGGCAGGGGCGCCGTGCGGCCTGAGGGTGTGGGTGTAGAGGAGTAGCCTGTGCCCATTAGACAGGACAGGGCGGGGCCGGCTAACTCCCAGGTCTGGGCAGCTGGTGTGGCCGGGTGAGGGTAGCCAGGCGTGCGCACAGCGGGCAGAGGAGGAGCAGAGATTTGCTGGGAGGCAGTGGAACGGGGGAGAGCTGGTTGGGGAGGTGAGTCTGGCAGTGGGGGCGCAGTGGGGTGGCCTGGAGGCAGGAGGCCAGGACCCGGGAGCCGCAGGGTTGGGTCTGGCCAGGGCAGGGTGGGAGCTCGGAACTGACCTCACTCCCCGGCTCCCAGCTGCCCGCACGCATGGCTCAGTCCACATCCCCGCACGCGTGGTGACGACACACAGGTGACTGGGCTGCAGGCTGTGGGTAGGTCATCGCGGGAGCACAGAGCCTGGTCTGACACGGCTCCAACCTAGATAGCCCCCCCCGCCCCCCGATCCCGCACCTCTGACTGTGCGCCCTGCAGGCTGTGGGACAGCAGACGGCTCAGCACAGGGGTGTGATGCGAGCAGGGGTGTCGAGGCTGCTGCCGGCGCCGGGACTGTTCACAGCAGACCTGTTAGTGTCGAGTAGAGAGAGGACGCTCTAACGCGGTGACAAGAACGGGGCGGTGGACGCACGAACCTGCAGCACCGTTGCTGTCGATCGCCGTCAGCCGTGACCCGCTGCACCGTTAGTCGCACCTGCTGCCCCGTCACGCGTCGGGCAGCGCCGGGGATCTTCGGCTCCATCAGAATCTTCCGGGACCCCCGCCCCCAGGCCCGGCCGCCCCTTCTGCCTCCTCGCGTGGGGCCCCCTTGCTCTGTGGCCCTGAGGCCATTGGGCGCCGCCTGGAGTTAGGGGCATAAACTCTGACGCCCACTTGCCTGGATGTGTACCCCGACTCTGCTCACCAGAGGGACTGGCCCGAGTTACGCAATCTCCCTGCGCCTCAGTGTCCTCGTCTGTGAAGTGGGCACAGGACAGGAGCGTCGCTGGGCTGTGGTGGGATCGAGTGTCAGCGTTGACAGCGTCGCAGGCTCAGTGAGCGCTAGGCACGTGGCCGCTGCCGGCCGCGACCCTGCCTGTACCTGCCT